ATTAATATATTCAGTGGCTTCTCCTATTTTTCTCAGTGATATTTAGTGCCAGTTAATCAGGATTTTGTTCTCTTTGACTCGTTGGATGGAAACGGTGCTGATTCGCAAATGTTTTATGCGATATTCCAATTTTGCGCTCAAGTTAAACTCGCAACTTTGGATGGAAACCCGGCTTGTGATGGAAGTATTGGCCAACGGTTTCCCACAATGCACTGGAGCTCATTTCTCAATTAAACACACCACTGACCTGCTGATGACACAGATTTGGGTCTGTTCCTCTCACTTCAGAAGAGCTGGAATACAGTCGCATGGGCTGCTAGTTTTCTCGTGTTTTTCTGTGCTGCCGTCATCACCGTATGAGCGATCAAAGGCGTTTAACTAGTCGCTGGTGCAGAGGACTCTGAGAGACTTTATACTCACACACTTTATTGTACAGAACTGGCTTGTTTAGGCACGCTGTTTGTTAGTATCATTTGTAGGATACACTTGGTTTGAAAACTGTTTGTGTTTGTAAATTTATCCACTTGTGTTCACACATTCATTCAAGAAGTTCCCTTTTCAATTAGTGTAAATTCCACGCTTTGTGGGGAATTGTTACGAACTCTCTCTTTAAGGATGTTTAGATATTTGAACTGGAAAACAAGACACAAATACTGAGGAAGAGATTTATGAATTTAAGACTTTCTGCTCTCATTTAAGATCTTTTAGGGCTTTAATTTGTGGAAGGATGAATTAAGACTTTTAAAGACTTGCAGAAAGTCTGAATAAAAGGGAATGGTGTCAATTATGAGTTATTTCATTCCAATGAAAACCAGCATCTGAAACACAGAAGTGACCGAAGGCTGGTCTCCTGACGCGTCTCTCACCTCGATGGCCACGCTTCCCTCTTTGTTCTTCAAGAGCTGCAGTTCATCCAGCTGCTGCTTCTGCCCTTCTGTCAGAGTCTGCGAGTCGGCCGAACTGCAGTCCGGAGAGTTTTCCTGCCACACGGAGACAAGATCACTTCCGAGGTCAGTCAGATGCTAGGGTTCAGCCCTGAAGCTGAAGCACTACACCATTCATCTCGAGCGCACTGCTGCACACACACACACACACACGCTCGCTCGCTTCAGTCGGGCTGTCCATTTGAAAATATGCTATTAAAAATAAAACTGAATCCGTTTATAATAAAATCTGAGAATTTACATCCAATTCAAAGGGATAAGTGTGAGTAATGCGGGCTCTCACCTCAGCATCAGCAGGAACAGACAGATCATCCAGGCCAACGATCTTCCCGTCTTTATTGATCTCATGGACCAC